TCGACGAAATAAGTAATTCAGTAATTCTGTTTTAATTCAACGTTCTAGGCCAGTCAAAACAAAACAATGCAATTTAATAAGTACTTCTATGACTTATGTAAACGCTGCAGGTGTTTGTAAATAACGCTTTTCTCGAATGTCGTCTGCAACAGTTTCCCGCGCGATTTTTCCCGCGCAGACAATTTTTAAATTCAAATCTCGCTTATTGAATAAAGTCGTCAGGGACGGGACCGAAATGGGATGTTCGTTACAAGTCGAATGTGTCCAAGCAAATAGTTAATATTGTACGCATATTATAAAATATGTTTAAATTATTGTTGTCCAGAGAAAATTATCCCGGAGCACAATAAAATACGTGGGAAAAAATAACGACGGTCACATACCGCTTCGTATCGTAAAATTTAATCTTCAAAGGATTATGAATTCTGACAGTAAAAAATGAGAAATTTGTGAATGCCCAATTTAACATGACACAGTGAAAGACAGGAAAATGAAATGTATAGCCGCGGTTTAGGGTGGACATTGCGCGGATTAATATGTCTATGACGGATAAAGATCGGCAAGTAAATTCAACGCACGTTATGTCGTAAAAAGCAGTAAGCTACCTCAGTTGAATATTAATGTCACAGACGACATGGTATGATGTCGTAGTCACGGTCTCTAAAGATCGGCCATTTTGAATTTACATGCTATTGGCACTGAGTACACCACGTAATCGACGGATTATTTACACTTTTCATGTACTTCTGTCTACATGTGTGTTATTTTATGGCAACTGATAGACAATGGAACATTATAATTCTTTTTTTTCTGCATGCTCATATAAAATTTGAAATAAGACGCGTTCATCACACTCGAGGTACATACATATATATTTATTTAATCCATTGATGCATATTCCCGAGGGAGGATAACCCATTCTAAAGGCTCAAATGGGATGCCATGTTAGTACTAAATACGGAATTGTTTTTATCTTGATTCAAAAAACCGTCACATACTGTGCATTGAAAAAAAAAACTATTAAACTTTGTCGAAATGTAAAGTGAATGAGTGGAAGTTTCACAGGTTATGATGGAAATCAATTTTCAGCGGGAGTCTTAAAAGGCTTGTTATGTATGGGATAAATAATTCAAAGGACAAGTCTAGAGACGATCGAGAAAAGAAGTGACGTAGCACAGGTGATGTACTACTCCTCCTGTGACGTAAGTGACCTTGAATATTTATGAAAGGGTGTGTCCAAATCGTGTGTTTTAACTGAAAATTCACGGTGTGGGTAAAATAAATAAAATAAAATAAACGTATTGCGTGGCGGTACGCGGAGTTTTATCATAGTCACGAGGTTTTGTCTCCAAGGCAATGCAATGAAAAGCGCCTAAACTTGGATCTAATCGCACGACTAACATAAGTATGTTCAAATTCAACTTGACACCGCTATTCGGATGCATTACTTTATCAAATTCTGTTTTTTTTAATCTATTAGCGATTTTCTGTGTGTATGTCGACATCAATGCACTGAAGTGCCCAACAAGAGTCGCGATAAATTACTACTGGAGCGGGCAAAGAGAATTTGTGTAATTTGCATAACATCTAACACGTGGTCAACCCCGGGGATCAATTGTATTATTTATATACGGCTATGAAAGGCACCAACGAGAAACCAGAATTCTAAAAAAAAAAAACACCCCTTGAAACAGTCAGTAAAAAAACACACCCCGGTACCGATAGTTCAAAATCATAGTAAAATGAAAATATCATTGCCACATATTACACATAATGTATTGAACTCCTGGGTGTCTCGTATACCCCCCCCCCCGCCCAACAGTCGGGGGTCTTAACCAATTACTGATGTGCACAGGTCAGTCCGAATAACACACTCTTTCAGAAAGTAGTGTTACATTTCTAGCGACCAGATCATAGATGTACCGTAATATTATTATTTCTTAATATCGGTAGTTATCACAGATAGTGGCAACGTACATGTACAATATTAAACATCGTGTATTATACTTCAAGACTATATACGCCGCTCCCAGTCGTCGCTCCGAGAGGAAGCCGTGTAACAAAAAAAAACATCGCACCAGTCGACCTGCTATTTTCAACTATGTTTATTTTTTGTGCGAGAATTTAATTCAGTAACCAAACATTTTTATGTGCTTTTAATTTGAAAAAAAAAACATCAAATTAAACCATTTTCTAAAATTTATAAAAAAATATTAACGGTATACAACTACCTGCATGTATTATGATAAAATAAGAAATTGTTCAATTTATTCAAATTTACATTGTGTTATATATTATGTGAAATGATTAACACTGAGCCCAACGTATATAAATCTTAAATATAGTAATATAATATAATAAAAACGTTCTTTTGACAGGAATGAAGGACATTCCCAGTCATAAAACGATGTTGCTTGCATTCATTAATGTTGAGCTGTTTAGTAATATACATGTTCGTTGATTAGTGAGTTCAGATGTACATGTTCGACTGACGCCATCTTTGTGCTTATCATGCTTAATTCAAATTATCATAAATACGAAGATACATCTAGCATATGAATATGGTCAATAATAGGCAGCATACAACGCGAATAACTGTGACGTCATAGTCGTTACCGATTCAATGAATGTTTCGGCAACGTAACAACTAACATGAATGTAGTTTTTACAGAAATCAATCAACATCGCCGAGAACTAAGAGAATAGAGACAGGAGTACGAGGTCTTTATTTTTAAGTAACAAGAACTAGCTTGAAGGTGGGGGTCTCGTGGATAAGTGAAAGATATTAAGCATTCAAAATATCACATTATTCTTGACTGCGTGGGAATATAATTTCCACAAACCCAGAATCCACGTTTACGATGATTTTTTTTTTATAAACTGTAAAAAACGATTTGAAAACATTTGACCGCCGTGACTGCGATATACGCCGACCGTCATTGGATAAGGCAAGCGCTTCGCGGAATAAACCAGTACCAGCGGCCATTCTTTTGGCGAATCACGGCTCCTTAATTATAAATAGAAAATTAACTCGTTTATAAATATTTATAAACTGTTTATAAAATAGAGTTACATCTTTATAGAAAGCATAGTGTGTGTTATTTATAATATTCTACTAAATTGATTTATCACGGGTTACTGAAAATGGCGGCTGAAAAAACGCACGAAAAGCAAACAATATGATTAAACAAACTATTGAGAAGCATCGAATAATTTATTTTTGCATTAAGGATATAATTCATGGCGATGATGTCACGTTTTTTCTATAAGCTACAGTATCTCGTTTATCATTCACGGCACTTCCCTCCCCCCTAGATGTTCGGTGTGAGCAGACGACGTCACTTTCGGGTTCGTAAATTGTTGATGAATGATGACAAATCCTTATCTTTTACTGTTCGGAGAAAGGGTGGGAAAAAAGTATTTGCATCTGATAAAAAAAAAAACGGTAAAGAAGACTTTTTGTTTAAAAGATGAAATTATATTGGCCTTGTGTGCCTATTATGTTTGGAACTCTCCTACTATATCGTGTTATTCAAATTCTGCTCGTCTCAGATGAATACACATTCCTCTTAGAATACAACTATATTTGAAGTTAATTTACTTTTTTTAACATTCCCAGAAAAGAATTTACTGAATTTCTTTCAAAATATCACTGTACAGCTATCAGTGCATTATTTGGTCTTCCTGTGTAATGATGGTTCCGTGAACACAAACTGAAAATACAGTCACGGTACACGTGCGATGACACTCAATTTGCATAACAATGCACGGCTTTGGAGCATGATACGAATGCCCGAGTTCGATATTGATCTCTTAGATAATTTTTCACAGCTAGCGTCACGTAATACTATTAAACCGGTAGCATAATATAACACTTAAGTAACAATAATTTTGTCGTGAAAACATGTATTCTTTCTTAATTTGATGACCGACGTTGTCCGCCAGCTGGAGCGGCATCATCACCTCGGGTGACATTTTAATGTTTCAATTCACAATGAATTAATTAAATGCAACCTGTCCCCACAAGGCGAGACTTGGTCGCGATTAAAATAAAATAGACGTTCTCGTGGGTACGCTCATTTAAATCGTCCCCACGAAGTAATTAATTGGACAAAAATTATTATTGTTATCTTTTCATGATGAATTTTTCGATCACGTGCTATTTTTAATATATAATCATCACAATGTGCGGAACCAGTACATTTTACGTTTTAATTTGGCTGTAAGCTAGACTGACTCTGCGTAATATTAAAACGCTCATATTTATCACGGTAAATAACACGGTCCACGCACCATTTCAATAGCATGTCCTTGAACGCAAATTGAAACAATAATAGTCGACTTATTTCTGATTAAATTCGACAATTTCCATCTGATTTTTTTTTTTACTTTTTTTTTCTCTTAGCCGCGAGCTATTCCTGTTTAAAAAGATACACGGAATCGAATGACGTATCTGAAAATATCCTTGCCTCGCTGTATTATCATAATACGGCGGAGTAAAGTGTGTTATGAATGGGGGCCAGCGAAGGTGAGTTACCTACATTATGCGGAACTCGCGATCGCGCTCATCATACTCGGCAGTCGTTTTTTTTTTTTTTTAAATAAACACGCGAACAGAAACTATTATTGACTTGGTTCTAAAAACAGACCAATTAACGTCTATGTGTATATTAAATTATTGTCAGGATATATGATGTAATAAAAAATGTACGTCGCGTGAAGATGAGATCTTGTGTATTTGATAAAGGTAAAATGAAGGTGTCATCGAGGATTCTGTTCTTAATACTAAGTATTCATGTCGGCCACATAATATTTAGATGTAACCTAGATATGCACGTGACGACGATGGCGCGTGGGATCGTCGATATAACAATGTCTCGGGGCGTGTGGTCGTGGAGAAGGGCTCTCCGTTTATTTGTAATATTTTGGTGGGGTTATTTTTAATAATAACAATGATGATGATAATGATAATAATACTGTGTCAATGTGACCATACTCACTCATTCTCTCTTTGTATATGATTCAGTTTATCAGAGGATCGCTGTTTCCATTTTTCAGCGGCAAGTGCTGCATCTTTGTAGGACACATCTGCATTTCTTCGGTAAAATCTTAGGTCACTAGGCGAAGTTCCCGGTGATCGTTCCCTGGGGCTCAGACCAGGTTCGTAATCCCTATCCAAGCTATGTTGGCTTGAATGTGGTGATACCCCAGTGAGGCTTCCGCGCCTGCGCGATTCCTCTGGCGAGAGACGGGGAGAGTCGTACTGACGGTTGACGGCAAGCATAGCGGCGGCTCTCGCGCCAGGTGCTCCGACGGCGGCTACAATAAACCAAAAAGAAACAAATACACACCATTAATAATATAATTTCAGGAAATAATGCCTACCTGTTGGAATTGAAAGATGGTGGCCCCATGGTAACTGATTATGCAAATAAGATGCAGTAGAGGAAGAAGAAAAAAAAGATTCTGACAGCCATTTCAAGACGATTAAAAGAAAACACACAAGGTGTCCCAAATAAACGTGTAAAGTTCCAGGTTTTCCCCTAAAACGACGAGAAAAACAATTTCCATTTCCTACAGCAGAGATAATTCCTAAAATCATGACACATATGACAACGGTGATGGAGACAACAGCCATGTGGCTTGAAAGGATCTTGGAATCGTAACGTGAATCAGACGTACATTCTCCATCGAGGTGGTGTTCCCGGAGTTCCCGCTGTCGCTCTCTTTCCTCTCTCCGGTCCTTTCGATCCTTCCGATCTTTTTCCACGTCTCGCTTGGCTGCCGCTGCCGCTTTTGCTGCCGTCTCCCGATGTTGACGGGCCCTCGATATAAGCGGCCGTGTCCATCTTGCCCGCATCGTGGCTCCGAGTTAGATATCTTTGATCAAAGAGGATGTAGACCCATTCTCGTATTGTATATGCAGGAAATGTGTAATGGGTATAGCCGAGTAGCTCACTAACGGCCCTGCCTCATCCTACGTCGCTGATGCGAAACTGCATAAATGACTTCCACTGATTTGACCCTCACAAGTATGAACTCGCGAACTTTACCCTCATTTGCAACATCTTAAGACGTCGAATCAGAGTGAGAAGCTGCCCGAGACGGCGCCTACGAGTATAGGGTTTGCACCCCCGTGATGGCTTCGTCACAATCGAAGATTGAGTGAAACGCGAGGGGGAATGTAATTTAAATAATTTGTCGACTTTGTCGTCTCGGCTTTGCATAAAACACGTTTTTGTTACCCACAAGATGACACCCCAGGTTGCTCCCCTGTTCCTAACCAATCTATCTTCATTTCATTCACATTTAATGCAATTTCTTGTGTTTTAATAAAAAGTATAATATCGCCATTAATTCTGTACTTTAGGCATGATTTACAGGGGGGTTCAACCCGGATTAGCTCCAAGACCGAGATGGACGGAGAAACAGCGCATGCGCTAACATATAATTTTTACGGATTTTAAGTGAACGCGGTGACTCAACCTTGATGTAATTCTCAGTACTCGGGGGAAAGATCAGAGAAGAAATTTGATTCTATACGACAAATTAAAAATTGCAATTAGCGCAACAGTTAGACATTATCTTGCCACCTGCCATGGAAACCCGACGTTTATTCAGTCGTGCAAATACACAAAAATAATAAAATCCATCGCATCTCCCTTATTTCTTCTTATAAAACTGTCAAATAGATAATTTTTCGTTCATTGCGAGACCCCGCATTATGTATGCGTGAAATCGAATATAAAAACAGGACATACAAAGAACATAATGTTGTAGTGACGCCGCGCGTAGTTAGACAAACGCTAAACTATTTTCGGGGGCATTTCCTTCCTCGCTTAATAGTTGTGTTATCTCCATTTGGTGACGGCCAATGTAGCTGAAGTAAGTTTATCTCAAAGCCATATTCCTTCTTTAAACTCGGCATTTAGGCAATGGACTATGAAAACAGAAATTCAAGCTAAAGATCTAATCATTCGATTTTTTTTGACGTCCGATCCGCGCATTTCACGCATTGTGTGAGATCTCGAAGTGTGCGGAGACTCATCTATCGAACATGAGTGACTATTATTATGAGTGCAAAGCGCTGTAAACACATTATTGTTAATCACAACAAACCGCTTAAATGAGAATATAAACAGTAAACAATGCATAATGTGGATCATAATCGCGAATAGCAATGATTCCACCGCCGTTTTACACCGACAATGTTCCAAACTAACGCGGGTCGGTGGAAAACAATGACTTTGTGCGCGTAGCAAAATGACCCGACAATGAGGTTGGTCGTGGTCACGTGGTGCTATGGATGTCCGGGGAACAACAACTTCATTTGAATAATAACAGCATTAACGTGTGTTCCACTTAATATTACCAATGAATTGTAAATTCATTATAAATAAATTACACAATGCTTTTTCAAAACACACATGACTTGTTTGTTGCCTAGCAATCATTCGTGATTATTTGAACGGACCACTTTGGGCGTCCTCAATCTGGTGATCTTAGTGTGTTTAAGGATGTAGTAGAGGTAATTGCTATAGCACATTTCTGAAGTAACATAATCTTTGAATCCCATCAAGTTATATATTTTTAGAAAGCTTATTTTTCAAATAATATAAAATAAATATTCCAACAAAAAATGGTACCGTGTAATCACGTAATCACTGTGCAAATAGAGAGGTGTTATTTTTGAAGAAACCGGAATAAGGCCACAGAAATGATGTTTGCAGTACTTAGAGATACTATAAAAGGTTTGAATTCAATTTCCCAATTCATCTAATGTTGCGTGACCTAGATGTTTATCTCATAACACTTTTTAAAAACATCGTCAATGTTGTTTTGAAATATGATACCCCGTGTCAGAGTTCATAAAGGGGAGAGTTGTGTCGTATTTTCTAAAGTCAAAGTGGTAGACAAACCATCTTTGCCAGATTTCATAAACAGCTATTAGAGAATACCTATGCCAAAAATCACCATCGTGGAGCAGCTGAGAGTCGAGATCAACTCTCTAAGACTAACCCCAAATACCGATGTTTTCTTATGCGTGAAAAATAACTAAAACATAAAACATAAAACACAATGTATCTCAGATTTACTCAAAATGTATTACCCTCTTAAACCATCGCTACAGTTGTTGTTGTTTTTAGTTAAATGCATGTTTTATATATTCTTATAAGAGAATGGTGGAAAAAAGTAAATTTGATATTTTCAACGAAAGAACCTCTACTACATCCTTAAATGATAACGCTCGTCCTTTCGGGAATCTAATTTGATCCCTGTTGTACCGTGATTTGCACCGATTACATGCATGAGTTGGTTCAAGGTCTCGCAACACATTTTAATATCTCTATACACGATTGCAACACAAACATGTCCAGCATAGACTTGCATACAATGTGTCTCAAGTAGCTATAGCTCAGAAAAACAGAGACATGTACAATATTATTTCAACACTGATGTTGGCAACATTGGACTGAACCTGAATTAGTCACACTAATGTTAGCAAAATTGGACTGAACCTGAATTAGTCACACTAATGTTGGCAACATTGAACTGAACCTGAATTAGTCACACTAATGTTGGCAACATTGGACTGAACCTGAATCAGTCACACTATTGTTGGCAACATTGAACTGAACCTGAATCAGTCACACTAATGTTGGCAACATTGAACTGAACCTGAATTACTCACACTAATGTTGGCAACATTGAACTGAACCTGAATCAGTCACACTATTGTTGGCAACATTGAACTGAACCTGAATTACTCACACTAATGTTGGCAACATTGAACTGAACCTGAATTAGTCACACTAATGTTGGCAACATTGAACTGAACCTGAATTACTCACACTAATGTTGGCAACATTGAACTGAAGCTGAATTAGTCACACTAATGTTGGCAACATTGAACTGAACCTGAATTAGTCACACTAATGTTGGCAACATTGAACTGAACCTGAATTAGTCACACTAATGTTGGCAACATTGAACTGAACCTGAATTACTCACACTAATGTTGGCAACATTGAACTGAACCTGAATTAGTCACACTAATATTGGCAACAGTGAACTGAACCTGAATTAGTCACACTAATATTGGCAACATTGAACTGAACCTGAATCAGTCACACTAATGTTGGCAACATTGGACTGAAGCTGAATTAGTCACACTAATGTTGGCAACATTGAACTGAACCTGAATTACTCACACTAATGTTGGCAACATTGAACTGAACCTGAATTAGTCACACTAATGTTGGCAACATTGAACTGAACCTGAATTAGTCACACTAATGTTGGCAACATTGAACTGAACCTGAATTACTCACACTAATGTTGGCAACATTGAACTGAACCTGAATTAGTCACACTAATGTTGGCAACATTGAACTGAACCTGAATTAGTCACACTAATGTTGGCAACATTGCACTGAAGCTGAATCAGCTACACTAATGTTGGCAACATTGCACTGAACCTGAATTAGTCACACTAATGTTGGCAACATTGAACTGAACCTGAATTAGTCACACTAATGTTGGCAACATTGAACTGAAGTTGAATCAGCCACACTAATGTTGGCAACATTGAACTGAACCTGAATTAGTCACACTAATGTTGGCAACATTGCACTGAAGTTGAATCAGCCACACTAATGTTGGCAACATTGAACTGAACCTGAATTAGTCACACTAATGTTGGCAACAGTGAACTGAAGTTGAATCAGCCACACTAATGTTGGCAACATTGAACTGAACCTGAATTAGTCACACTAATGTTGGCAACATTGCACTGAAGTTGAATCAGCCACACTAATGTTGGCAACATTGAACTGAACCTGAATTAGTCACACTAATGTTGGCAACAGTGAACTGAAGTTGAATCAGCCACACTAATGTTGGCAACATTGAACTGAACCTGAATCAGTCACACTAATGTTGGCAACATTGCACTGAAGTTGAATCAGTCACACTAAATCCATCTTTTTTGATGTTGCATGCAACCTAGCTTTCTGTTACGCAGCGTTAGACCATAACTACTTTAATACCAAACCCAGATAAAGACAGGAGGCAAGTATCTTTGTTAAAACACAGGTTATAAGTTAGCGAATAGACATATGGCAGTGGCGGCGACACCGGGGGACGGGCGTCAGTGGGGTTGTCGCCCCTCCAAAATCAAGCTGAAACCTTTGTGTCAGATCAATTTTCCCCTCAAACTGCAGGAAATAGAGTTTCAAATGATCTAGATTTCAGATCTAGCCCCCTCAAGCCAAATTTCGTGCCGCCGTCCCTGGACGGCATACCAGCTAACTACAACA